ATAGAGGATTTGAAGCCGAACGAGATGAGGTGATGTTAGCAACCACCACAGGAAGAAACTTCAAACCTGAAGAGATGCGCAACTGTGCATAAAAGAATCTGAAAGTGCCTGTGAGCTTACACCTGGCCCCAGTAGAGTCTCCTCATCAGTATTTCAAGCCAGGCCTCAGAAAACTAGGGACATAATCTTGCAAGCACAGAAACATACACAAATTTCTTTGCTTCAAACCTAATCTCATGATTTCAGTCTATATATCCTAATGCCTCTCCAGTGTTCTAACCATCTCGTTCTTTTTAAAGTGTGCTTCTGCAGGGAGTTCATGCTACTAGTACAGCAGCACCCCCCGTTAGCTAAGGTTTCGCTTTGTGTGGTTTCAGTTACTTGTGGTCAACTGTGGTCTGAAAATAGATGAGTACAGTACAATAAGATATTTCAAGAGACAGAGAGAGATACTTATCTAATTATTATTATGGTATATTATTATTAATTGTTCTATTTTATCATTAGTTCTTATTAATCTCTTATCGTACCTAATTAAAAAAAATTACCATAGGTATGTATGTGTACACTATATAAATAGTGTTTGGTAATATCTATGGTTTCAGACATCCACTGGGGGTCCTGCTATGTTTCCCTTGCAGATAAGGGGGGACTACTGTAGCTTCTCTTCTGATTAAACACATCTGCCGCCAAAGAGCAGGTATCTCCTGGGCACAATAAAATTACCAAAAATTTTGATATTGCAAAAGATTTTGAACACTGTGGTTAAAATATGTCTAAAGTTTTCTTAGACTTTGAAGCACCTAAGGGAAAATTTTGTTTAGAATTTAAGGTACTTCAAATAAACACAGAAACAAATGTTAATATAGTAGAACTCTTTGTAAAAATAAATACAATTTAAACAACTACTGAGGTTAAAGGGTAATTTTCAGAAAAGGTTAAAATCATGACTGTCATACAAATACGGAAGTGAACACATCTTTAAGATTTTAATTTAACTTATTAATGAGGAAACCGGCAAGATGTTAAAACCAGCTCAAAGGAGAATCTGAACAGCAGACACAATTATAGATCAGGAAGACTGAAATAAACGTGTAAATGGGAGGTAAAACTCACCTTTTCCACAGTCGCTAGGGAAGTCAACTGAACCTCTATGGAACAGAATTTACATGTCAATGGACAAAAATTATATTGTATTACTCTCTGTTATCTATAACTCACAGAGTTATAAAGTTGCTCTCTAGAATCAAAGAATTAGATAACCCAAATGTTGTGCTATAGATGACAATGCATAGCTTTCCGTGGAAGCACAATTTTTTTCCCTACATGGATCATGATTATTTTATTTACCACTATATTCTGAAAACCTGGTATATAGTAGATAGTCCATAAACACTTGCTAAAAGGATGAATGAATGTCCACTATATGTGAGTCATTAAGCTAGGCCCTTCACATTCATCATCCCATTTAATCTTCCCCCAAATTCTTTAAGATAAATATTATCATTTTACTGACAAGAAACTAACGTGTGGCATCATGTGGCATCATGTTTCTATTACATGTCAAAGGCTGGGTGAAGGGCACGGAGGATTTGACTCAGACCTACGTGCAGAAAACCTCTCTCTGTTTTCTTCTTCTTTTTCTCTCCATTTAATATATGTCTTTTTCATTTACCGTCACTGGACCACGTGCCTCTAAATCAAGAGATGTTTGTATAAAACACTGATATAACATGCTTCCTCAATGAGCATGATATGGGAGATCCTTGCTTTAAGAAAAATAAAAGAACAGCAGCACTCAAGAGAATCTAAGCATAAATAAGAGACACATGAACAATCTTTTCTTCAGCCTTAAAGAGTAGCACAGGATATTTACCAGCCCAGAATGTTTTGTTTCCCATAGATGCTCCTGTCCCTCCTTTCCTAGGATAATAAAGCTGGATGAATTCAACATTGTGTGTATCGTTTTGTTATCACAGATACCATCAGGGCAACACTTGGAAAAGAGCAGCAGCTCACATGCATTGTATGCTCATTGTGACTGTGGGCTACCTTCATAGCAACACTATGAGGTAGATACTATTAGCATCTCCTCCTCTGCAGGTAAAGAAAGCTGATGTGCACCCAGCAACCTTTACAAAATCACAAGGCTATGATGCAGCTCTGGCCTGCGACCTGGTACTTGTAACCATTCCCCTGTCCTCTCTAAAGTCACTCTACTGTCTGCACAGCCTGGTGAGGTTTGCTCTGTCATCACATCTTGAGTTTTACAAACGTCTTTGCCCTTTTCATCACAGCCTCCAAGAGTACTGGGATTCCCACAGCTTCTAGCATCATAGGGCTGGTAAATGCACACTGGCTGAAGTCCTGAAAGCTATTTTCTGGCCACTTGGCACTTGTGATCATTTGGGTATTTTGCATTCACTCTTAGAGAGGCAGGGGCCAGAGAACAGGGGAAGAGAGTGGTCTTCTGAGGCTTCAAATAGGTGAATGTCAAAAAGATGTAGACCAAAAGTTAATCTGAAATCATTCTCTCTGTTCCCTAAGTCCCCAAATAATTCCCTGCTTTCTTCTTCTTGCCAGAAAATAGGCTGCCCTTAAAAGGAAATAACAGCATGCTTTTCGACACCTCCAGGTGAGTCCTGACATGAATAATAGGACAATGCCGGCATGGAAAACGAGTCAATAAACGGTTAGCTTAGTGGTTTACCTATATTATTTCATTTAATGTTCACAGTGTCTCTCTGAGCCAGGTACTATTATCTTTATTTTGGAGATGAGGAAGTGAGGTTAAGTAACTTGCCCAGGTTAAGCAGCTTGCCAAGATCCCAAGAAAGTTGTGATTTCCCAATACCAGATGTGTTTCATGAAGACCAAGTCTGCCACCAAAAACATATGACAACTGTTTGAAATACATCCTCATTTCCACACTCCTGTCCTCATGTCACTTAGCAGAAAACCTTGGGAAGTGGGACCATTTATTCCATACGCACTGAAGCATGAATCTTTATTTCTGAGGACTGTAAGGCTCATCCTCTTCAAACCATTATAAATGCTTATCCTTCCCTCAAGGGGACCTCATAATTCTCACCCCTAATAAAAGATAACACTGCTTTCAAATAAGATCATGAAAAAGGCTTTGCCATTACTATCGCACAGGCATTAAGAAACATTAAGCAGTCATTATCTGATGAAGGCTACCATAATCAGGCAAATGGTTACTAACTGATTGATTACGTTTAGGAGTAGAATAACTGACCCTAGATGGGCTTTTCTTATACTCTTAAGGGAGGAACTAAGAAAATGAAATGCAGACACTTGGAGTCGAAGCTAAGTACCCGCGCTGCCTTCCAAATTTCATAGATTTCATCCAAAAGGGCCATTGGCTCTAGTTGGGAGTGGCAGAGAAGAAATGCATAAAGGACCATTTTTATATTTAAGATGGAAGGATTTGACTCTCTTGTTTGTTAACTCAGTTTGAGCTACAATTGGGTGTTTTCCCTGTATATTTAGACATATCAATGCGGTCGGCAGGAATCTAGGATCATCTAGCTCAGCATTTTTTTTAAACATTTAGTGCTTAAATGTTTTAAAAAGTTTTTTTTTTTAAACCAATCAAGTTTTCAAAATCAATCAAGTTTTCTGTGTGTTTCAAATATATACAACAGACATAAAGGGAGGGGCTTTGGTTCACACACCCGCCTCTACCCAAAGCACGCCCATGTCCCTTTGGCCACGTCCATGAAACACACTTAGAAGACCACCGACTGAGACCTCTTCTAAGAAGGTGGACTGACCTGCCCTAGATCTCACAGATACAGCCTAAGAGCAGAACTGCAAAAATAAATACTTTCTGCTTAACAAGTCCCTTTTCATAGTAATGGGGTGAACAGACCAAGAGAGATTAGGATTTGTCATGATAGAAAGTATGGGTTTGGGAAGAGGTTTATCATCTAGAGTGTTTTGCTATTTCATGACAAGTCACTTTACCACCAGAGTGAAATCATTATCTCAGAAAAAAAGATCTGGACTAGAAACGACTTCTTAACATTGTTTCCCCCTTGAAGCTATACAGTTTTGGTTTACAGAGTGTATCCTCAGTCCTATCTTTCACTGCACCGTTTGTGAAGGGAAAAGAGAAGTGTTGCTCACATACAAGTAGAATCTTAGGGTGAAAGGGCAGGCAAGGTCTGGAAAAGCCCCCTTACTCTGATGGGCTACCACAGTGGGCATATTTGCTCCATCTTGCCCACTCTGTCCCCCAATTGAGAGACTTGATCTGAAGGCCCTTTATGGTTCACTATCCTGTTCTATTTTCTGCTTTCAAGTACTTATTGACCTCCACATGTAATATTCGAACACCCTTGATCTAAATGGAATCGTAATCTGTGCCTTGAAAGTATTCATCCCAAGGGCAGAGAGTTAGTATTATTATATTCCATTTCGGAAACTTGGAACATTGCTAGGTGCAGATACTAGAAGATGGTCAACAGGGAAACAGATGCCCAGAGGACAGGAGTGTCAGGGAAACTGACTTTTCCCCTGGACTCTTTCACGTGATTGGATACAGGTATATAGCTCACCCAGTCAAAGAAGTCAACATACTTAAACAATTTTTAAAAAGCATTTTCCCACTTAGAATCCTTTTCTACTTAGATCTACATAGTGATTCCATAGCCAAGTTCACGTGAAAGACTTCCTTCTTTCCTTTATCTCTGATTCATGTGCTCTTACTTTCTCTAGGATCCCCCAACCCTGCACCCTGATTCCCATATACTTTTACAATGGATGCTCAAAATTCACAGTTTTCTATAATAACCATGTATGTTTCTTAAATAGCATGGCTCACATGGATCTGGAATTTATCACCCCTTTGAAAGTAAACCCATGCCAGAAAATTTCAGCAGGAAGATATTGTTTCATTGGTAAGGGTATGGGAAAGGCCATCATGACTGGGAGAAAGAAAGGGAGTGAAATATCTGGGATACTGCATACTTTACCAGTTATGTCATGCTGTTTGAATGACTCACTGTAGATCTGATACTGATTCGGACAATGTTTCTTCAACCACTTGCAGACATCCTGCTGGGTCCATAGAGCCACCGGTTTAGACAGCTTCACTGTAGCTGACTATAAATAAAGAAGGAAAAGAAGATCTGTCAATGCTGGCCCCATGCCTAGGAAGACACTGTAGTTATAAGTCTTAAGAGTGTGTTAAAGGCTACAGACTGGATTTCCTGAAGATAAATATCTAGTTCTTGTCTTCCTCCTAACCTCTGCAGACCTTCTCAATACTGCTGTAAAGCACAAAGAAAAGGTCCAGGTGGAGAAGTTGTGAAAATGATCTAACCATCTCTGCTGAGAAAAAATGCCAAGGAATCCCTAGGAAGTAGTGTTTTTTAATGAATACTCTAGCAAAAAACAAGGGGTTGCTAAGCAATTAATTACATTATAGGGGAGAAATAGCTGTGGCCCCAAGTGCCTTTCTTTGTATTCCAAGAAGGTATTTATCTCTTGCTGTCCCTGACATTTCTAGAGCCTAGTACAACACTGGCTCCAGGAAGTGCTAATACTAATTTTAGGAATGAATGTTATTGGATTTAGATAACTGCATACTAAGAACTGCAAGTCTGCCTGGGGGCTCTGGACTTAGGGTGGCCCTGAAATGGTCAGGAGCATGAGTTATACCAAAGTGGGGAAGCAAAAAGTCAATTCCACCAGGATGTGGAGAACAGTAATAAGATGATGGGGGCAGTTAGGCTTTATACAGAAGCCAACTAGTCAAGGTTTTTTTGTTGTTGTTGTTCATTGGATCTTTCAGGGAAGTGTTAATGAGGAAAACACACACACACACAAACACACACACACACACAGAGGGAGTGAGAAGAGCTTAGCCTTTGACAAATGATGGATTACAAATACATTTATTAGTGAATAAGCATCAATTTCATGCCAGATGATGGTGTCCCTCAGAGATCCCAGGAATTTGGTTTTGGACAGATTAATGCTTCACTATCTAGAATTTTTATCATGCTGGATCAGTGTTTGCCAAGAAAGTAAAGCCATCCTATCGGCAGCTGTTTGAAGGCTCCTGGGTGGTACAAGGACGTGGCCATTATTATCCCTGCTCTTCACCATAGGCATCATTTCCTTCCACTTCTCTATCAAATCTTTCAGATTAAGGCAAGGGGAGAGCCTTCATTTGGTAGGAGTGTGATTGTAACACCTGCTGACATGTTTGTTGTTGTTGTTTCCTTGGCAAAGAAATGGCTTGCTTCAGTCTCAGAATCTTAAAAAAAAAAAGCAGTATATCTAGCATCTAATAGCTTTTAAAAACTTTTTAGTACATTTAAAGTTACCCTTTATGGCAAATAAATTATGGCAAAATAAATTTTATTTTCTGTAACAATATCTTCTTAGCTTTTTAAACAAATTTGAGTTTAAAGAAACAACTATCCCAGAGGCCAATTTTTAGTTAAAAAAAGAAACAATGGTGCAGATGATGAGAGAGTCATAGTGAAAACAGTGGAAGCAATATGGAAGCGATTCAAGGTTGGAAAGCACAATGCTCAGGTGTTTTTTTTTATTTGTATATTTCCAGTCATATGAGTCCTTAGGTCATTGCTTTCACAATAATCACAATGCTGATCACTTTTTATTTTGTACTGTGATATTTTTCTTTTATTAATTGTGGTAGATTGTGTTTTCCAAAGATGATTTTATATATGTCCTATATTCATATACATATGTTTTCATATAGACATATATACACATACATATGTATCTGCTTTTCATTCAATGGGATTGACATTTATTTCTTCTACTAACATGTGGGGCTGATACTCCCTCTGATTCCATTTCAGCAGGGTATGTGACCTTCCTGATGAATATAGTACAGTGGAATTGATGCTATGTGACTTCTGAGGCTAGGTCATAAAAAAGACACAGTTTCTGCCTGATTCGCTCCCTGGCACTGACCTTTGGAAACCCACCGTCATGCTGTGAGGAAGCCCAGGCCACATGGACAGACCATGTATAGGAGTTTTGGCCAATTTGCCAGCTAAGGTCTCAGTTGACAGTCATCACCAACGATCAGACAAATGAATGAACAAGCCTCGGATGATTCCAGCCACCAGCCTTCAAATCTTCCAGCTGAGGCCCCCAGATACCACAATAGAGAGTCAAGCCATCTTTGCTGTTCCCTGAGTGAATCCCTGACCCACATAATCCATGAGCATCGTAAACAGTTGTCTAATGCCGCTAAGTTCTGGGGTAAATTGTTTTGCAATCCTAGTAAGTGGAATACGTGGTGATGTTGGGAGGGTGAGATCTGTTATAATTTTGTGTTCCCCAGAGTGTCTTGCTTTCAGTAGATGCCATGTATATCCACAAGGATTAAGTGAATGAATTAATGAATGAAACAGCATTCACAGACATAGCTTGCTATTTAATCAGCAGTGATTTTCACGTTTAGCCCTTGCTTCTCTACTCTGCTGTGTGTTGTGCCCACATGGCTCCTAATGAAACATGCCTACAGCCCTTCATACTAGGGTAATGGGCTGCAGCCATTTTCCCTCTAGCCTCTGTGGGAAACCATACTGACTTTGCCTAATTTTGATGAGAGAGGAAGACGTTGGGCATGGAGGGTATAAATGAATAAATATTTTTATTGTTGATGATGTTTAGGTTTTTTTTTTTCCTCTTTGCTCATCATCACATCCTTTCCTTTGCACAATTAGGAAACTAGAACTTTAGATCTTTTAGGTAGAAATCACTTACCACCAGGTTTCACAAGTCAGCACCTCTGAATCTAGTTCTTTCCTGCTCTACAAATGTTCCTTCAGATTAGCTGAATGAGTTTATAGCTGACACATCATTACCCTGAAACTCTTGCAAGTAAAGCTAATCACATCTTTTGAAAACTCCTGTAAACCAGTCACAGAAGGCTGTAAGCGAGGAAGGGAAAGGCAGAAGGATAAAGTTGCTTACACATTAATATACTAAACTTTTTCCTTCTTGGAAGGTCATGCTTTAAGTTGCTCATTTCCTGGGAAAGGGAGGACACTCAGCCTCAACTGGGCTTCAGGTGGAGATTGACCCAAACACACCAAGCTGACTCAGAATGCATCCTCACGAGCCCACCATGTATGCTTTTTGTCATGCGCGTCCATGTGAAGAGACCACCAAACAGGCTTTGTGTGAGTAATAAAGCTTTTTAATTACCTGGGTGCAGGTGGGCTGAGTCTGAAAAGAGAGTCAGTGAAGGGAGATAAGGGTGGGGCCGTTTTATAGGATTTGGGTAGGTAAAGGAAAATTACAGTCAAAGGGGGGTTGCTTTCTGGCGGGCAGGAGTGGGGGTCACAAGGTGCTCAGTGGGGGAGCTTTTTGAGCCAGGATCCGCCAGGAAAAGAACTTTCACAAGGTAATGCCATCACTTCATGCAAGGACCGGCCATTTTCACTTCTTTTGTGGTGGAATGTCATCAGTTAAGGTCGGGCAGGGCATTTTCACTTCTTTTGTGATTCTTCAGTTACTTCAGGCCATCTGGGTGGACGTGCAAGTCACAGGGGATGCGATGACTTGGCTTGGGCTCAGAGGCCTGACACTTTTGTTCTAAGTTTTCCTTTTATCATGAATTCAGAGCTTCTGAGGCTAACACTCAAGGGGCTGCTTTGCTTTATCCTTCAGCATATACTCTTAGTAGGCATATACTAGTAAGAGCACATACTCAAAACTTTAGGCATAGATTTTTAAGACTGTATGAGGCTGGGCACAGTGGCTCATGCCTGTAATCTCAGCACTTTGGGAGGCTGAGGCGGGCAGATCACCTGAGGTCAGGAGTTCAAGACCAGCCTGGTCACATGGTGAAATTCCATCTCTACTAAAAATACAAAAATTAGCTGGGCATGGTGGCATGCACCTGTAATCCCAGCTACTTGGGAGGCAGGAGGATTGCTTGAACCTGGGAGGTGGAGATTGCCTTGAGCAGAGATCGTGCCATTGTACACCAGCCTGGGTGACAGAATGATACTGTCTCATAAAATAAAAAACACTGTCTCAAAAAAAAAAAAAAAAAACAGAAACAGTTAAGATGGTATGAGCCTACAGAAATGCCTCCATGTAAACAGGCATAATAAGTAAAATGAGGGGAATAAAGATTCCTACCTTTTGTCTCTTCTTAATCAGATGGTAATGAAAGTATTGATACCATTTATCAGGTGATTCTTAGCCTTGGCATTTTAATAAAATTACTATTAGTTTGCCACACTTTAAGAGCTGTAATGACTCCAGTTACCCCAGTCTGCTTCTTTTTTTGGGATTCTCAGAGCTGACTTTGATTTGTTCTGCCTGAACTTCTTTTTGTAGCACCCAGGGTCAACCTCAGTTACTCCCCCTTCCATCAACATTTTCTCCATTCCCAACAGCTACCAAATGTTGGGAGTGAATGTCATAATCTGATTCATTTAAAGAGCTTACACTTTACTTCCATGTGCAATTAGAACAACAAGAAGTACATGTTAAACCATGCCAGTTGAATTCAACATATTGTCCCACTGAAGGTAGGAAAGGAGAGGCAGAGCTGTCAATGCCTTCAACCACCTCCTTTCCTCAACATCCAACACCTACACTCTATTCACAGCCACCCCTAGACGATGACTTTCTCTGATATGCTGCTGGGTTTTTTTTCCCGCTGTAGGGGCCTAAGCCTAAATAATAATAGTTTGTAAAGCAAAGAAATAAAGCATTTCACATTTACTAGAAACAGTAAACTCATAAGAAAAAAACATCTTGCCCAATGGCAAACATTAAAAAAACATTTGCCCCAGTTCTCTTTCTCCATGTTCATGTCTACCACATCATTCTCTGAATTTACAACCCTGGAGACAATTTTGGTTTATTTTGCTGCCCTGAAACACGCCCGAGGCAATTTGTTATCTTAACCCCTATGCGTAGTGACAGCAAGCAGAATTCCAGACATTTCCTTTCTGAATTGGTCCTGGCCTTGCTACAGACAAACTGAAAGTGCATTTCAGACGCTTTTCCTTTCTGATGCCTTTCTGTTTTACAGGAAGAACTCACTTTATGCAAAATACACATTCCTGAGAGAAAGGTTGTTTGCAAATTACTTT